AGCTCCACCACCACAGCACCAGCTTCCCCCCCAGATACTCCACCCTGCTCAGCCTCTGCACCAGCGGCCCATGTCCCCCCCAACACTCACCCCCCAGGGCTTGCTCTCCTCCCAGCCTCCCCAGATGCTGCTGGAGGACGATGATGAGCCAGAGTCTACCACCCCTCTGAACCAAGTACAATTATACCTGCAGCAGTTCCAGCAAGGCCGGCAGCCCCAGCAGCCCCAGCAGTCCATGCAGTCCATGCAGTCACTTCAGGCGCAGGTTCGTCAGCAGCAGCAGCAGCAGCAGCAGCAGCAGCAGCAGCAGCAGCAGCAGCAGCAGCAGCAGCAGCAGCAGCAGCAGCAGCAGCAGCAGCAGCAGCAGCAGCAGCAGCAGCAGCAGCAGCAGCAACAACTTCAACAACAACAACAACAACAACAACAACAGCAGCAGCAACAACAGCAGCAGCAACAACAACAACAGCAGCAACAACAACAACAACAGCAGCAGCAGCAACAACAACAACAACAACAACCAGGACAGATCTCTCTCCTGCAGTCCGTGCAGGGACAGTCTCAGCTCCCCTCCCAGACCACTCTGCCTCCCCCACAGCTCACCATTCAGTCCCAGACGCAGCCTACCCCTTCACATCAGGCCCCGCCCCCACAGATGCCCCTCCACCCGGCCCGCCACATGCAGCAGCAGCAGCAACAACTTAACTACCAGCAGGGTCCTGGACTCGCTGGTCAGTCCCAGGGGTCACAACACAAGGTATCCATGCCCCCCAACAAAGCACAGCAGATCATCCAGCAGCAGCAGCAGCAGCAGCAGCCCTCCCCTCGCCCGCCCAAGGCTGACCCTTACAACGCAGGTGAGTGGAAGAAGATGAGACTAAAATGTAATGTAAGAGGGAGTCGGGAAGCAAAGATTGGTGTTGGCTGACGTTTATTATAATGCCTCTCCTTTCTGTTGACAGGTCACATAAGGGACAACCCATCGCCTCTCATGATGCATTCCCCACAACTTCCCCAGTTTCCACCTGTGTCCCATCAGTCCCCACCTCAAAACATGCAGTCCAAAAAGGTGAGAAATGCTTTTTAGAAAGCGTTATAGCAGGTCAACTGTCCTGTGTCCACATGTCTAACTCTGACTCCATGTGTTTGTCCTGCAGCAGAGGGGCCAGGGGAGCCATAGTGTTGTAAAGGAGGAGAAACTTCCTCCATCACCAGCGATGAGAGGAGAACCATTCAACCCGGCCATGAGACCCGACCATCACAAACATCCTGATAACAAGCCTTCTCAAACAAGCCACGGCCCACAGAGTGAGTAACAGGACTTGTTGTTTTTACTGGAACTTTATTTTTAGAAAGGCACCGATACTCTGTTCTTAGAAATAAATTCAGAATTGGCAGGTCAGTTAGAACAGCAAACACAAAGATTTCTTTAACTTTTCTTTTCAATGGAAAAGGTAATTGTATGTTCCTACAAATTTGAGAAAATATTCTATACTGTGAATGTAGGCTTATTATTAGTTAATCAAGTGCATTCATGGAGCCCGATCACAAATTGCAGATTTGACTCAGTGGGCTTTACAATCTACACCCTATGTCCAACACCAGTACGGGCCTATCGGATTACAATCATCTTATTTCCACCGGTGGCCTATCAATCGGTGTGTCTCCAGTTAAAGGTCCCGTGTCATGCTTTTCCGGTTATTACCCGTCCCCTTGTGTGTTATGAAGGTTTTTCTGCATGTAAACGGTGTGCAGAGTCAAAACCCTCAAAGTACACCCTGTAGCGAGTAAAACTCTAAAACAGAAAATACCTCCCCAAACGCCTCGTTGGTGAAACGTCATCATCCATTTGATTCTTCCGGGTACGTGCTTACGAAAGCACGTACCCGGAACTAAATGGGCCAATCCGTGGAGCCGTTACGTTAAGCCCCCGCTGATTGGTCCAAATTGACCAATCCACACACACGCACACGCAGTGCAGGCAGCCCTGCTGATTTCTGCTCCGTGCTGCAGGCTGATAACAGACAGTTGGGATCGCGCGAAATTCTCTCTGAAGACCCATTCTCACAGCGTTTATCAACCTATAAACCTTTTTCTTACTCAATATCAAGCCACACTTATTGTTTTTATTTCGGCTGTGACTTTGTGTGTGTTCAGGTTGAGTTTGGCTGTGTTTGGCTGTGTATCGCTAAACAAGGAAATCACGGAGGGGAGCCGGAGGAGCCATTTAGTGGAGAAAGTGAATACTGCTGAATACACATACTTTACAGAGATGCTGTATGCGAAACCAATGTGAGTTTGGAAATTGCACAGTATTTTTTCTATTTTAGTATACCTCAACAATGGAATTATGATCAGTGGAAATGGCCATGACATGTGACCTTTAAAATGCACAGAGACGGAGAATTGTAGGATCTCCACAAAACACTGAGAATATTAATGTGTGTGATCCTGTGTTGCGCAGATGTGAAGTCCATGGACAGCTCGCGACCTGTGATCCGCTCCTCTGAGTCCAGTGGACCGCCTCCCTCTCTGCAAGACAAGGACAAGTTCAAGCAGGACTCCAAGACGCCTATTGCCCCCAAAAAGGTACAGGAGGCTGTAATTAGTCACTTTTAAAAAAGTATCTTGTACACATCTCCCAGTTCTTAACGTATGAACTGCATCTTGAAAGGTTTTTGAACATTACCGATATTAATGGAACTTTTCTTACTGTCTATCTGACTGTCTGTCTGTGTTTGTGTGTCTCAGGATGTCAAATTGAAGAACATGGGCTCATGGGCCAGCCTTGCCCAAAAGTCCACATCCACACCCACGTCTGCAGTGAAGTCATCGAGTGACAGTTTTGAGCAGTTCCGTCGAGCGGCCCGGGAGAAGGAGGAGAGGGAGAAGGCTCTGAAGGCCCAGGCCGAGCAGGTGGAGAAGGACAGGCAACGCAGAGAGCAGGACAAACTACGGTAAGGTTGTCACAAGACAAAACAGAGGGCTGCCATGGTTACCTCAAAGTAAACATTGAAAGACTATAGCAGCGGAGGACATGCTGACTGTAAAGCAGGGATGGGCAACTTTGATGGTGGTGGGGGCCACATCATTGATGTACTGGCTACCAGGGGGCCGCAGATTCACTTGGAACAAACACACACAAAAATGCCATGTGTTGTATGTAATTATTAACAAA